GGGGGGGGGGGGGGGGGGGGGGGGGGGGGGGGGGCAACGGCTGAGGAGCTCGCACCGAGCCCAGCACACCCACCGCCGCCAGGGAAAACGCGCCCTCTGTCCTGAGCAGGAGGCGCCTGCCTCCCTCTGCCGACTGTCTCGTGTGGCTGTTGAACAGCCAGGAACCTTCAGGGAGCACACAGTCTATGATTTATACTGAATAACTTTTTAATCTAAGCATATCTTTTCAGGATTTAATCTAAAATCAGATTTAAACCAAGCACGTGGCTCCAAGTACGCCGCGAAACCTACTGGCAGGTGACAGTTACTGCACCTACTCCGGCTCAAAATCAACCACGGGTAAGATTTATAATTTGAAATATAAGTTTATAATTTAAAAGGGAAAAATGACAGACTATTTAAAAATCCAGGAACTCACTTATACTATGTATGATGTCATGCAAGGTTTATATGATTTCCCCCCTATACCTTTCTATTTGATTCTGGGGATCAGCTTTGTCCTCCATATTTTTTTCTTAAAAACATGGTTTGATAATAGAGCCAAGAATGAGGCACTTTTAGAAATGGTACAGTTTTTACAGACTGATAGTGATCTTCTGAAAGGAAAACTCAAAACTCTGGAGAAGGATGAAAAAAATTTAGCTGACAAAACTAAGTCAAATGAGGTACTTTTAGAAAAAGTACAGTCTTTACAGACTGATAGTAATCTTCTGAAAGGAAAACTCAAAACTCTGGAGAAGGATGTTAACAATTTAGCTGGCAAAACTCAGTCAAGTGAGGTACTTTTAGAAACGGTACAGTCTTTACAGACTGATAATGATCGATTAAAAGGAAAATTCAGCATTCTGGAGAAGAATACAGCCAACTTAACAAACAAAACCCAGGCAATGACAGAGGGTGCTAAGACATTGTCTGGGAGAATGTGTGCTATTGAATGTATTAGTGAGACTCTGGTGAAGGGTTATGATAGATTGACTGATAGAATGTCTCTCCAGGAAGAGAATATGCTTGCTATAAAGATTATGTCCAAGAGTGAGACATCATTTCTACTGGACAGACTTAGCACCTTGGAATCCTCAGTGAGGGCATTAGAACAGAAGACTAGACAGGAGATCCAGACTCTACAAAAGGCAGTGGTAAAAAGATTTGAAAAGATTGAGGAATTTATCAAATTTGATGACCAGGGACAAAAGGTACAAAGACAGAGGTACTACTGGAGGGAAGAGGCTAAAATTTTAGAGCAAGAGGGAAAAGCAAAAGAATTTAAGATTTCCCAAGATCAAATTCTGGGTGAGGGACATACAATAAATGTTGAGACATTTGACTGTGATATCGATGATTGGGTAAGAGATGCAATTTCCAAAGGTATAAGGAGATATCATGATACCAAATGTTTTAATTGTGGTAGAATTGGACATCTGAGAAGGGATTGTAGACAAGGAATTCCAAGGAATAATGTCTCCTCTGGGAATGGCAAGAATAGGAGGACTCAGCCTTTGGATATATGTAGGAGGTGTGGCAAAGGCCGACATTGGACCAATGAATGCAGGTCAACAAGAGACAGTTCAGGCAACCCAATACCATTGAGAAACTCCATGGTGGGTCTCTTATAGGCCCCCATGACGAATATGGTCTAGTCGTTCCCAGTTACTGTGTAAAATTCACCAGGAAAATTAAAGAATGCAGTGCCTACTGTAAAAAAATACTTATCTGGATGATGGAATAAGTGGAGGATGAGTCAAAAGCTCCAGTAGGACAGAGGAAATGTATTTTCTGGCAGACTTCTATAAATCATCAAAGAGTGTATAAATGGCATTTTTATTGAAGGCTTACTAGACACAAGTTTGGATGTAAGTATCATTACTCCAGAATCTTGGTATCCAAATTGGCCTCTTCAAGAGGTTCAGTTCCTAGGAATTGAAACCCTATGTTTCTGGGGAAAATATTGGAAGATATTATAGACAAAGGTCACCAGGCTGTACAAGAACACAAAGCAATTAATAAATCTTCAGAGTTGCTAATGGCCCTGCCTTTAAAATAGTTAACTGAGAAACCAATATGGGTTAAACAGTGGCCTCTAACTGAAGAAAAGCTGTAGGCTTTAGAACAGCTGGTACAAGAGCAACTAGATGCTCGCCATATTGAAGACTCTACCAGCCCTTGGAATTCTGTATTTGTTGTTAAAAAGAAATATGGAGAATGGTGAAAGATCTTAGAGCTATCAACAAGGTTATTCATCCTATGGGCCCTCTACAGTCTGGAATTCCTCTGCCTCTCTGTTACTAAAGGGATGGCCTCTCATAGTTAATGATTTAAATGATTGTTTCTTCACTATACCTTTACAAGAAAAGGACAGAGAAAAGTTTGCCTTCATGGCAAACTTTTTACTGCTGATGAAGTAAAAAAGTTATGGGAAGACAATGAACCCTGGCAAAGGGCTTGTGCTAATCTTTTTGGGAGAAATTAATAGCAATTATCCCAGAAGCAATAGACTTAACCTTAGAAAGAGAACTTATTGGGTTCTTCCCCAAACTGTACATGATGCACCAATAACTGGAGCCCATACATTTTATACTGATGCAAATAAGTAAGGTGGAACAAAGCACTTATAATTCTGTCCAGAAAGCAGAATTATATGCTATTATGGTACTAGGGATTTTAAAGAACCTCTCAATATAGCTACTGATTCACAATATGCAGAGTTATCTTGCATATTGAAACCGCTGAATTTGTACCAGATGATACAGGATTGATTTCATTATTCATACAGGTGCAAGACATAGTCAGGAATAGGCTTTGTCCTATATACATAACACACGTCTGATCCCATATGGTTCTGCCAGGTCCTTTAGTACAAGGTAATGCTGGAATTGATCAATTATTGATTGGAAGTGTGATGCAGGCCTCAGAATTTCATAAAAAACATCACGTCAATAGCAAAGGTTTAAAGAGTTTCCTATTACATGGTAACAAGCTAAGGAGATTATGAAGAAATGTCCTGCTTATTCTTTCTATAACCAAACACTGTTGCCTGCAGGGAGTAACCCAAAGGGTACTCAAGGAATGAGATGTGGCAAATGGATGAGTTCCACTTTATGGAATTTGGTAAATTAAAATATATGCACCACACCATAGACACGTATTCAGGTTTTCAATGGGTAATTCTCTTGAGTTCAGAAAAGTTTTAGTAATCACTCGTTTATTAGAAGTTATGGCCATCCCTGCACAAATAAAGACAATGGTCCAGCATATGTATCTAAGAAAATGAAATGGGGTTTTTTTTTGCTTATTATAATATAGAGTATATTACAGGTATACCAACTAATCCTACAATTCAGGCAGTTATAGAAAGGTCAAATCAAACTATAAAGGATATGCTAAACAAACAAAAAGGGATGGAAAATACCCCCAGAAATATTGCATAATGCTTTATTAACCTTGAATTTCCTTAAACACTAATGAGAAAGGAACAACAGCAGCAAAGAGACATTGGATAATGGAAAAAACTTCTAAATTGAATCAACCAGTGTATTTCAAGGATGTGTTGACCTCACAATGGAGACCAGGAGATGTGCTATGCTGGGGAAGAGGTTTTGCTCTTGTTTCCACAGGAGAAGAAAAACTATGGATGCCATCAAAATTAATAAAGATTTGCTTTGAAAAGGAGAGACCTTGAAAAAGAGAGATGACAGCTCATCCACAATGGTGACAACCTTACAGGTGGTAAGGAAACCATCCAGGGTTGGGGCAGGGATCTGCTCTTGTCTTTACAGGAAAATAAACGTCTTCAAAAAATTCAAGAGACCTTTGTATTTGGACGACAACAGAAGGAAAAATAACTATCCACTAAGGGTCATCGAGAAAAAGGAATATGATTTATGAAGTCAGGTGATTAATACACATACATTTAAATATATATTTATGAATATATAGAGCTGGCTTTGGAGTTGGACAATGGCTCTGTACTTCTCTAAATCCAAGCGTGTTGTTAAAAGGAACATTCAGAGTTTCTGTCTCATATCAGGAGCCATCTGGTATGGGACAGATGAAAAAAAGAAATTTACTTTCTCCATGTATTTTGTCTATATCACATTCTTTATTGAATGTATGTCTATGAATAATGTTTAAGCTTTCCACGATGAACAATAGACTTTCCTACAGATCCTTTTCCTGCATTAATCTTTGAAGTTTCCAGGAAGAAAATGGGGCCCCACAGCAACAACTCCACCTGGTTGAGATGACATCATGATGCTGATAGTGCTACGCTAAGACCCGTTTTTAGGTACCAGCTGCTGACATGGTGCACCTTCTCATGACGTTCTGGCCAGAACTCCAAATGAGAACTTTGGGGAAAACTCTATCAACTGCTCAGAAATCTAGACAGTAATCTTGAAATTTAGCCATCACTTTACTTTTGCAGGGTCCCCTAAAGAGAACATCGCCCCCATGGCAGCAGGAAGTAATTCTAGAGGACGATGCCCCCCCTCCCTAAAAAGTTTGTCCTCAGGGTTTGGGAACACCATCTAGGGATTGGATTATTGCTTGTATCGGGTAGAGGGTTGGGGTGGAAACTGTTCCGGCGGGGGGGGGGGGGTAATAATAGTGGGTAATAGAGTGAATATTTGTGAGCTATTATTTATGGATAATTTACATTGGTATAGTTTTTTTGTATATTGATACAAGTTCAAATTATATTTAACTCTGTTTACAATATTTGTACACCTATGCAAAGTTATTCTGTTGGATTGCATGCACATTTATACATCTGTTTAGAACATCTTGTATACTGATACAACTTTTAGGATATATATTTCATATTGCATTATATAGTCTTACCTCTAATCAAGATACTTACACATTGTTTATATTTTGAGGTCATTGTCCTCATTTGCTGCACATTTATTTACAGATTATTTAGTATTCTGACATGAAGTCTTAGTCAGGTATTAAATATCTTAGTTCAATAGATGTTCATGCTTGTTATACATAGTCAGATTAATTAGGTTCTTTAGATATATAGAGATTGTATTCTGCCTAGATAGGTAATCTTCAACCACTTCAAGGATCTGTAGAACATGGCATTTAAATAATTTAGGGTCTGTTGACATGAGACATGATTGCTCCTGACAGCACCAATCTATTCATGAGAGAATGTTGAGCACCAAAGACACTCCACTTGGCAAAACTGGCCTTTGGGCAAGGAACTGCCCATACCTCAACCACTGACAAAAGTATCTGGAATGGATAAGCAGGACACAAGAAAAAAGACTGTCAAATCTTGCCAAGACAAGGTAGGACGGTTTTTAAAAATTTCCTGCCCCTGAAAATGGTCTGTCAGTTATGCTAGACCTTAGCCAAAGTTGGTTGCTTCAACGTTGCAAATGAGTGTTTTGGGTGATTGCTCAGGTAGCCAATTGTCTCTGTCATATACTGCTCACTTTGGAAGCTGCTTGATTGCACTTCCTGCCTACTCAAGTAATATTATCTCCCTTCTCAGGCCTTCGATAGGGTTGAAGATTAGATAGTCCTAGTTACTTTCCTCATGATTTAGCCAAGCTCATTTTCAATGTAAGATTTAGACTCATTGAAATAGAATGTTTATTAAAACATTTGTCATGTGTTCCTTGCTTAATATTGCTGATGTTGTTATTTTATACTTGGTATCTGTTCCTATTGTATATAGTTGTATTGGGTTTGGATTGATCTTGTTTAGACAAAAGGAAGAGGTAATGGGGGTGTTAACCAATCATCTTTGAGAGGTGTAGCCTAGTTAAGGTGTGGCTTCCTGGAGACTAGGAGAAAAAACCTGGACTGACCAGGTACTCACGCTCTCTGGGTGAGTCCCGCGGGACACAGCAGAACTTGGACTTTCCTGTGTTGTAAGTTTCCTCTTATAATAAGTAAAAATATAATTGTTTATCGTTAAGCTAGCCTGGTTATTTACTGAATCGAGCTAACTTCTACACATAGGCACCTGCACAAATATGGTGAACTTACACACATGAAGAAAAAACACTCATGCAAAAAAAATAATTTTTAAATTAAATAATAAATGTGAGACCCTATGCATATTTGGCTGTTCTAGAACTCATTATGTAGAACAGGTTGGCCTCAAACTCAGAGATCCCCTTGCCTTGGCCTCCTGAGTACACAGACAAACACTGTCTTGAAAAGCAAAACAAAAACTGTGGCACCACTATTATGCCCAGCTGAGTTCCTTCTGCATCTATAATATCCCCACCTCTCCTTTGTCTTTGAGGGACAGGCTAGGACCAAAGTAGGTCAAGCTGATATACCTTCCACACTTCAAACCTCAACCAGGACCCAGTGATGGAGAATGCTTGAGGTTAAGGTATAAATTATTTTAGGAAATTTTCTTGAGGTAACAGCCATTGTACCTCGGGTGCCCAGAGCATCCCTACTGAACTTTTCTTGTTCTGTGAGTTATTCTTGTTTTTGCTTAGCAGGGACAGCTTCTGTTGCATTCAAATGTAACTCTTGACAGTCCCATCAAGGGATAGGAAAAGGATCAGTGTGACGGGGAGAGCACTTTCCATGCTTAGGCATCGCCTAAGCACAAAGTCATAGTCAAGATTTGCACTGCTTCTCAGCCTGGCTTCTCCACCCTTCAGTCCCATTAAGCTGTGGTTCCTACAATGCAAGACACTTGGGTTTCTAAGCCCTTGGAAGAAACAAGTGAGGGCCAGATGTGGCTCAGTGGTAGAGCAGATACCACCATTGAGAAGGTCCTGAGTTTAATCCCCAACACGGTGGGGGGGGGGGGGAGTATGAGAAAACAAAACAGTACCAAGAGAGTCTTATTTTTCTCTGTGTATCCCTTGCTGTAACTTGCTCTGTAGAGCAGGCTGCCTTCCGAATGCTGGGACAAGTGCCACCACTGCCTAGAATAGCTTGATTCCTACAGGTCTACCATGAAAGTAAATGAACCTTGTGTGTCCACCCAAAACCCTGTCTAAACCTGAGTGACCATCACTGAGTAGAGAGCAGCTGCTAATTACCAGTGGTACCAACACTCAGACTGGTATAAGTGCAAATGGCAATGCAGCCCCTTAAGGAACCCATTAGGTCAGAAGTAATTCTGTCTATAGATATCACAACTGGACGGAAGTCCTAGAGGAAGAAAGGTTGGTCTGCTTTTTTCCTGTTAGCACACAGAACAACTTCCCCACCCCTCGGCCAACAAGCCTAGGCCTGAGCCCTGATGGGCTGTGCAGACAGGGAATCTGGCTTTAGAGAAGATGCCAGTCTCGTGCACACCCACACAGTGCTCAAATGAGAAACTGGGAGAGCAGAAAAGTGAGACCTTGAACTAAGAGCAGGAGAGGGATGGTTTCCTAAGGAAACCAGCTGTTAACAGGAGCAGCATGGCCCACAGATGCTGATACACTCGGTAAACTGACTCTGGTCACAGATGCTGCCATCTGCAGTGGATAGAAATTGCTGACTTCACAAGTAAGGTCAAGTCCATGATTCTGTTAGGTCTCAAACCCAACAACTTGGCCTGCAAAAGCTTTTCACTAAACCAGGCGGTGGTAACGCATGCCTTTAATCCCAGCACCTGGAAGGCAGAGGAGGGCGGATCTATGTGAGTTCGAAGCCAGCCTGGTCTATAGACCTAGTTGCAGGACAGGCTCCAAAGCTACAAAGAAACCCTGTCTTGAAAAACCAAATAAAATGCAAAAAAAAAAAAAAAAAAGTTTTTCACTAAAGGGAAACAAAGTAGGGTACCACATCCCTTTATGTAAAAAAACTATTAGCACCTAAAATTATTCAACAGCAGAGATCTATATCGCCATCTTTTTAAGGCTGGTTCTGAGCCCAGTATCTTAAGGAATATATCTAAAGATGAAAGAAAAATGGGCTATTGATGCCCAGGAAAAAAAAATGAACCCAGAACAAAAGTTGGAAAATTATGAAACTCAGATGTCCATGCATAACTTGATTCCTGCAGCATAGTCTTCCTTACCTCAGTCATCTTTTCCATGTGCAAGTTACTCCCGCAGGTGTCCATCCACTATGCCCAACAGACTCCTAATTATATCCCTATATCTACACCTACTGTCAAGCCTCCTACCATAATAAGCATTGCTAATGCTCCCTGAGTGGTCGCAGTGATCAGGGAATGATAGCTAGGTTATGATATCTCCTAGACCCAATACCAAGTACCCCATGTTCTCCAGGGTTTTATGATATTAAACCCAACTAAAAGGTTTACGCCCAGATCTACCTACCATACTGTGCTGTTCCCCAACTAATCTCTTATAAACATTCATTAACACCTTATTGCAAAATATCAAAATAAGCCAGGCAGTGGTGGCGCACACCTTTAATCCCAGCACTTCGGAGGCAGAGGCAGGTGGATCTCTGTGAGTTCGAGACCAGCCTGGTCTACAAGAGCTAGTTCCAGGATAGCTTCCAAAACCACAGAGAAACCCTGTCTCGAAAAACCAAAAAAAAAAAAAAAAGATATCACAAAATAACAAAAGAGAAGCTACAAGAATTATAACAAATCCCAGCACGTGAGAGGTAGACGCATCTCTGTAAGTTCAAGGCCAGTTGTGCCTACACAGCAGGTTCCAGGCCAGCTATCTCATTGCCACAGATAAACATATTTGTGCCTGTTGAGTTTTGCCTTCCTGTTCCTTTATATTATTTCGCCATAACACCTACCGAGATACAAACAAGCCATGGTCCTGCACCTCTCCAGGACAATTTCTATACAGATGAACCTATTCCGGGTGCTCTAAGTCCTGGATGGGTCTTCATGCTGCCACCTTGTGGCTTTTACTGTAAGTGAGCTGCAGCCCGCACAGATGGGGCTAAGGACCTACAATGGATCAGCAAACTGGCTTGCACGCCACATGCAAAGCTGCAGCAGCTCAACACCTCGAAAGACTCCCTCTTAAATAGTCACAGCAACATTTAAATGAGAGGTCTGAACTGGTTCCAGGCTAACCTCTCTGCTTGCGAATGCCCAGCTAAATGGAAAAGGATGGCCTTCTTCTCTTGGCTATGAAAGTGACAGGCAACACATTATAAATATAGATACGACATGCCTTTAACCCCAGCACTCAGGAGCAGAGGAAAGCAGATTTCTGAGTTGGAGGCCAGCTTGGTCTACAGAGTGAGTTCCAGAACAGCTAGGGATACACAGAGAACCCCTGGCTATATATCTATATATCTATATCTATCTATATAGATAGATAGATAGATAGATAGATAGATAGATAGATAGATAGATAGATAGATAGATGATAGATAATGTGTTGCCTGGACTTTTACACGAGAGGAGGGAGGGGAGAGAGAGAGGGAGGGAGAGGACTTAATCACTTCAGGTAGGGAATTTTTTTTTTTTTTTTTGAGTCACTCCCTACTCTTTAAACCTCTTCTAAATATCAGCACAAAGACTGGGTTTCTTGCCAGGCTACTTGGACTCCTCATGAATGCTTCAACCACGGGGAAACCAATCTCTGTCTAGTTAGTTTCCATACAGTTCCTAAACATGAAGAATTGGTATAATGGTTTAACTCCAAATGAGAGGGTAAGGGCTCCACAGGTCTTGGCATCTGCAAAAGATAAAATCACCCCCTGAAAATGTACATCTTAGAGTAAATGCTTTCTACAGGAAAAGAAGACTTAAAAAGAAAGAAATAGTCTTTTGAAAATTAGTTTGTGTGCATTGGTGTGCATACATGTCTGTGTGAGGTGTCACTCTTGGAGTTACAAACAGTTGTGAGCTGCTCTGTGAGTGCTAGGAATTGAACTTGGGTCCTCTAGGAAAACAGCCAGTTCTCTTAACCACTGAACCATCTCTCCAGCCCCAAGAGAGAGATATTCTTAATTACTACCCCCCACACACATAGGAATGGTTATTTTAAGGACCTTGGGAGAAAACAGAGAAGACTCCTAGCTCTCAGGTAAGACTGACCCCTAGAGCTAAGCTTCCCAACTTTTAGCTTTCATTTCTTTGCAGGATCACCTTGCAACAACAATCTCTCAATTTCTCCCTTTCCACATAACCCTGTCCTAGAACTCACTACATCACAGGCTGACCTTGAACTCACAGAGATCTGCTTGACCCTCTTCAGGAGTGCTGGGATTAAGGGTGTGTGCCACTACATCCACTGTGACAGTACTCTCTCTCTCTCTCTCTCTCTCTCTCTCTCTCTCTCTCTCTCTCTCTCTCTCTCTCTCTCTCTAAGACAGGGTTTCTCTGTAGCTTTGGAACCTGTCCTGAAACTAGCTCTTGTAGACCAGGCTAGCCTCAAACTCACAGAGATCTGTCTGCCTCTGCCTTCCGAGTGCCACCACTGCCCGGCTGACAATAATCCCTTACAGGCTTCCTAATTCAATTTTCAAACCAGCAGTAACCTGGAACCCACCACTGCTGGTTCAGAGTGAATTCCTCCTCTGTGTGGATCCTCACGCCAGCATACTCGGATCTATTGTTTGATGAATAAAGAATTCTCTAAGGGCTAAATAAATGGCTTCTCTCGGGTCATACATAGCTACTATAGTATGGCTGACCATGGAGCAGCTGGAGCTCTCATTGCTTGGCTTGTGATCCACTTGTGAACTTACAGCATGGCACTAGGCATTCTCAGCAGGACCCCATCAATGATGCTCAGGGCTCAAGCCCGATGAAGTCCACTCAGAGCCTCCTTTTTTCTTTTTTGTTTCTTTTGCTTGTTATTTTGCTTTTTGCTTGTTTGGTGGGTTTTGGTTTTTCAAGAAAAAGTCTCTCTACGTAACTCTGACTGTCCTGGAATTCACTCTGTAAGCCAGGCTGGCCTCAGATTCACAGAGATCTGCCAGCCTTTGCCTCATGAGTTTTGGGATTAAAGGTGTGCACCACCACCGGCTGGCAGGTGTCTCCCTTCTTACTTTAGTTTTGGAGTGGTCTCT